GTGAAGAAGGACGATACTTGAAGAAGGACGATACGTGAAGAAGGACGATACAAGAGGATGAACGAGAAATGTGTGTTGTCACTTTCAGATCCACTTTGTTTCAGATCACAGGCTCAACATTACTCAGCTGTTTGTGAGGTCGTCTCTCACCTGATGGACTAGTGAGCTGAAGCTGAAGCTGCAGCTGAAGCTGCAGCGGTGGTTGTTGTGTTGTTCAGTTAGTTGTTAGTTACTTGTTGTGTAGTTGTTGTTGTTGTTGACAGTTCTGGTTCTCCTGGTGGAGCTAAATGGGACTTGGCAGACTGTGGTGATGACTGTGACCAAGCCAGATTGTCCCATATGATTCATCAGCACAGTTGCACGTCTGCTGTGTGTGTGTGTGTGTGGGTGGGTAGGTGGGGGAGGGGGGGGTGGATGCTCCTTTTTGTGATTGTGTGTGAGTGTATATGTACAAGTATGTGTGTGTGTGTATCGTGTTGCAGGAAGGTAGGAAATATGGGGACCAAGATTACAGTCCACTAAATAGCGGACACACCTTTTGTCCCATTTAATGTCCCCAGAAATGTCCAAACATGTAAACATGTGCATGTGTGTGTGTGATGTATTTGTGATATAAACTCAGGTTTTCAGTTTTTATGTGCAGACTGAAGGTTTGTGTGAAACAGGAGGATCAAACCTGCTGGACAGACACGTCACGACTCGTCTCGTCATTCAGCCACAGTCACACGACATCTACACAACCGTTGTCTTGTTTAATAAATAAATGATGTCCACTCTGAAAATCAGCTCAGAACTACTGTGTGTAACATCTGGTGTGTGTGTGTGTGTGTGTGTGTGTGTGTGTGTGTGTCTTTCAGATTACCCTCATGGCATCCGACTGACGTCTTCGAACCCTGGAGGAGAGAGGAAGGTGCTGATCGTCTTCACAGCTCCGAGCCAGCAGGACCGAGCTCGCTTCACCTCCGACCTCCGAGAGAGCATCGCAGAGGTGCAGGACATGGAGAAGTACAGGGTGGAGTGTGAGTGTCCTCCTCACTGTGGTAGAAGTAATGTAGTATCAGTTGGCGAGGTGGAAGCAGTACTAATATACAGTATCAGTACCAGAGGCAGTAGCATTTCAGGACAAGTTGAAAATGTTTCAATGTGAGAGAAACGTTTGTGGGACACTGTGTTGTGAAGACATGAGGTTCAGTGTTGACTTCACCCAGAATCAGACACTGAGGACAAACTTTGTTTGAGACTCGTCTCCAGAGTTCATGTACGATCACCACGCTCACTTTTACCATCATTAGTTTTGATGTTGGTCTCTCTTCTCGGCCTCTCTCCCTCCAGCCGAGCTCGAGAAGCAGAAAGGTGTGATGCGTCCCGGCATGTTGACGGGGGGAGGACCCGGAGGGGCGGCGGGCGGCGGGGCCAACACCGGCGGTGTAAAGGGCGAGGTGCTCAATGGCACCCTGGGTAGGCCGAGCCTCGACGACACGTACGCCTCTGTGGACGGACTGAAACGCACGGCGCTCAGCTCCTCGCTGAGAGACCTCTCAGAAACAGGTGAGGACGTTTTACTGCTGCAGCTTTTTATTACGACTCAGAACAAACTTTGTCTTAAACAACTGATGAAACAAGATGAAATCTAGAAACAGAATTCAGTCCGGTGTAATACTGTGCTGCTCCATCTCCACCTACTGGACAGATGCAGAAACTACAATAGAAAACAATGGGGGATTTTGCTGTTATTCATTTAATACACTAAAGAAGAAGAAGAAGAGAGCATCACATAAAAGCAGTAATTACCAAAAAAAGAATGGGAACAATAAAAAGGAGACAAATCTGTACTGTGGAATGTAACTAAGTACATATTCTCATACTGCAATTATTACTAATTTGAGGTAATTTCCTGCAGCTTAATATTTGAACGAACACTGAACTTGAACCATTCCATTCATATAAAAGTTGTATTTACTGTACAAGTTAAACGTTTTCTATATATTAGCTGAAATAAATTGTTGAATCATTTATGATGACTGAACATTCATTGGAAAACAATT